GGACTCCAATCACATTCTCTCTGATCTGTGTAAACCTGAAGGAGATTCTTCTCGCGTAGCTATTCATCAGCATGTTTCTCTGCACTCTCAGACCGCCTTCAGCCTCCAGAGACGATCATCCCGAGAGTAATGAGCGTGAGGCGCCTGAGACGGTAAGGGTGAAGTTACTGTCTCTGCGGTTGTAGATGAGAAACAGTGAGTGGATGAGCGCTGGTGTGACACTGACTCGGATGCAGAAAGGAATGACGGGGAGATAGACAGAATGACAAAAAGAAAGAGAAAGAAAGAGTACTACAGGGAAGATGTGTGAAGAGAAAAAAACAGACAAAAGAGAAAGAAAGACACAGATAGACACAGAGAGGAGAGACGAAGACAAAGAAAGAGAGACAGGAAGACGGGAGAGAGAAGGATAGAGAGATACAGAGAATGACAGAGAGACACATGGGGTAAAAGAGAAAGAAAGGGAGAGAGAAAGGGAAACATGGAAAGAGAGAGAGAGAAACGGGGTGGCAAATGTGAAGTTTAAAAACGTATTACTTACTTTTAACACCATATTCATGCATTTAGGTAGAAATTAATGTAAAAAGGAATTTCAGTGTGATGTCACATGTATGTTGCTGCTGTCGACCTCATATCTCCATTTTTGTCGTTTTTCAGGTTTTGACATAATTTGAAGATGCCTCATTTACATTATGGGTGTAGTTTATGATGAATGGACTAAAAGAAACGGCCCAAAATTACTCTGAAAAAATTCTGGTTCCATTGACTTACATTTAAAGTAAAGCAGGTTTTTCCCTTCTCCTGTAAAGTTACCATTTTGGTGATACAAGGTTTTGTTCCGCAATATGTAAATAGTATGTTTGTATGTAATTAGCAAAAATAAATGTTTAATATACATATAAAATATAGGATTTGACATCTACACGTTCAAAAAAAAATTGTCTTTTGCGTAGAAAGAGCTGATGGAGCTTCTACACGACTCCTTGTTCTTCTAACACTGACAGCTGGAAAATGTTGATTTTGAGAAATGCAAATGTGACCTTATCTGACATTGCAGGCATCACACCACTGATGGGGGCGACATCAGCTTCCATAATAATATTAAGTAAATATTATTAAATATATTAAGTTAATATTAAGTTTTGAATGTATTTTGAAAGAGCTGAAAGATTGTGTTTATACTGAAATATCAATTCCGATTGCTAACTGTTACTTTTAGAGGAACCAGGAACCTTAAAGCTCCATCTCCCGCCCTGAGCTCCAATTCCAGAAAAAAAGCACAACCAGACTCCCACGTCTCACTGCCCGCAGGGAATCCCTCTGCCTTTCTGAAGGGCATTCTGATTCTCAAAAGGTCGAAGGAAGTTTCTGCTGGCAGCCCCTCAAATCCTCAGTTTGACTCGAGTCTACAAAACTGTACACCTCAGGCAGTGCCACATCCCAGCATGCCTTTTGATTCTTCATTGCAACTTATGACAAAGGGCTAAAACTTTCTAATTACATATTAGAGAGATGTCAGAAAGCCACTTGTGATTATTTTATCATTATGATCATATGTGTGGTGACTACAGATGATCTGAGTGAACCACCTCATCTCTTAATGTACACATTAACTGTTATATTTACAAACTCTAACTAATGTTAGTTTATCTCACTCTGATAACAGAGCAGTCTGACAGTCATTGTTTGAGGTGGATCATCTGTTCCATTTTTGAATTTACCACACCTAACACTTCCTTCAGCAAGTGAGCACTTAGGTGCCTATGATGCAGATACAGTGTTCTGGAGGGTGGAAGGAAAAGTCAGAGAAAATGTGTTTTTGTATTTTCTAATTTCTTAACAAAAAGTCAAACATAAAACTTGCATGCTTTATAATTTACATATTTCACCTTTTACACTTACATTTAACATTTTCATTGCTTTTTAAACAAATATATTGTTTATTATTATATACAGAATAACAAATGATAAGGAATAAGAAATATGTATGTTCTGTAATTTTCGGTCATGTTTAGCAAAAATTACGTTGAATCTAACTGAAAATTGTTGTCTTACATGAATTTCTGCATAAATGTATAGAAGTGGTTCATGAAGTGTTAAAAATCAGCTACGAAAAGTGATAAACTTTTCACTTTTGATTCCCTTTACAAAGAGACACACATGGAGAGGCAGGGCTACACAATGAAAAAGACAGAACAGGGGTGGCAGACTGTCCAGCACAGTTTGTCTGCTCCTAACCCACCTACTAAACCTGATAATCAGCTTTTGAGTTGATTCAGGTGTGTTTGAGTAGAAAAACCACCAAACTGTGCTGGACTCTGGCCACCAGGACTGGAGTTCACCACCTCTGATTTAGAGAGACACATAAGGACAGAGAGAGAGAGGGAGAGGGAGAGAGAGTGACCGAGAGGGGTGGGAGACTGCAGAGAGTGAGACAATAAGAAAAGACATAGAAAGACACATAAGGAGAGAGAGCGATTAAGAGTAAGTAGAGAGAGAGAGAGAGAGAGAGATAATAACAACCTTTTCTTTTGTTCACTGTTATATACATGTAATATAGGTATCCTTTTTTCCTTTTCTCTTTTCCCTTCTCAATTACATAAATATATTCAATAATTAACTTATTTTCTCTCATTATATGTTGCATACACATCAAATAGGTTTTGTTTTATTATTGTATATACTTTTATATTATTATTTGATAACACTTTCTCTTCTTAATTGTTGTATTATTGTAATTGTATAATAATTTGTCATGTCAATAAAGTAAACTTGAACTGAACTGATCTGAAAGACAAAAGGAGAGAGAGATACAGGAATATTGAGAGAGAGAGAGAGAGAGAGAGAGAATGAGAAAGACATGGAAAGACACAAAAGGAGAGAGAAACAGGGATATTGAGAGAGAGAGAATAAGAAAGATGTAGAAAGACACAAAAGGTGAGAAAGATACAGGGATATTGAGAGAGAGAGAATGAGAAAGATGTAGAAAGACACAAAAGGAGAGAGAGATATAGGGATATTGAGAGAGAGAGAGAGAATGAGAAAGACAGACACATAAGGAGAGAGAGGGATGCAGGGGTATTGAGAGAGAGAGAGAGAGAGAGAGATTTGTAAGATATTTTATTCCCTCTCTAAAATTACAATTCTGCCATTACATTTCTAATTTTGCAGTGTTTAATGTTTTAAGCTCTATGGTTATTTGCATTTGTTAACTGTTCTAAACTCTAATATGTTCATCTTTGTAGAAGTTGGTTTCTGTTTAAAACTCTCAAACTCTGCAAGCCACGCTTTAGCAATACAAATGTAGCATTATTTCTCATGTCAATATAGGACCTTGAATTGAATTGAGAGAGAGATGCAGGGGCAGAAAGAGAGAGAGACATAGGGAGTGAGACACAATGAGAAAGACATAGAAAGACACATAAGGAGGAGAGAGAGAGAGAGAGAGATACAGGGGAGAAGTGAGAGGTAGAGCACAGTGTGGGGCGGCTGGAGGCTGAGTGTGTGTCCCCGGTGTCTGCATGGCCATTACCCGCTCCTCACAGGCCGGTCCTCAGAGTCTCTCAGCGAGCAGGCCAGCGCGCTCCATCCATCCATGCTGCTGGAGACTCCATTACAGCCTGATGGAAAGCGATGGGAAACCAATCGGGGATACAGGGCCCAGCGAGCGCGCCGTACGCTCACACAGGGCTGCGCAGACAGGCAATCTGCCGTGATGAAGAGGCCTGCACTCCTCCTCCTCTCTCTCTCTCTCTCTCTCTGGGCTTCCTGCGTCCTCCAGGATCCCCTTCAAGGCCCGCTGAGCCCTGCTGCACCCACACATCAGCACATATCAAATTAGAGAGCGGCACACAGCACGGCCTCTGGGGAACACAAAGTTGGATGTGTTTCTGATGCAATAGTTTCGTCCCCCAGCGCACTGTGCTGGACTGTAGGAAATTCAGTTCGTGCCACTGACTCCTTCCAGTCAGACTTTAGAGGGGAAAAGCTCTGTGTATGCATGTGTGTGTCTGTGTATATGTGTGTTTTTTTCCTTTGATGGCGTTTTGCCTTTTTCAAAAGTGTTCAGGCTCCAGGGAACATTTTAGAACTCTGCATTTCAGACCTGTGTATCTATGAGTTTTGTATATTACACTGTATTACAGTGTCATGACTTTGAGTCACACAGGAAATGTGCTGCATACTCTTTATTCTTTGATCTCATTGCTTTGTCTCCAGAACAAGCTTGATGTTGTCTGTAAACATTGTATAAGTCTCTAAATGTACCATTCACTCCCCGTATAGTCCACGTATGGAAACTAACGTCTTTGTAAAAAAAAATATGTAAACATGTTGGTTTTTGTGGCATTGCAAAAACAAAACATTTACATATATCTGTGCATTTATCCAACAGCAGTTTAGCTCTGCCCATTACCACTGAAGTGGCCCATTGGAGAGGTTCAGCCTGGACTGCTTTTTGATTGAGGCACAATACAGGACAGCCAATCAGAACAGAGCTTGTTTAAATATATCAGTCTTGTAACACAGTGTCAAAAACAGGCCGTTTAATTATTAGAGATCAAGAGAGGTTGGAAAACGGTCATGTAAAAGTATATTTTTGTTCTCTTTTTGGTCAATAAAATCCATAACATGTCATGTAAGTCAAGCACAGGGAAAAAATAAGAGCAAAGGAGATTGTAGGATATGGGCCTTTTAAGCCAGCTAAAGTTGTGCTTTTAATTTGGACACTATCTGAGAGGGAGTTGTTGAATTATTTAAATGAGTTCTTATTAGTTTTAGTGGTAAAGTGGATATAATTAGCCTGATGAGAATATAATGGTCTGTGCTGTACTTCTGCCATGGAGCTTTTGCATTTTGCAGTGGAGCACGGGCGCAGTAAACAAAGCACAGCGCTCCCTCCCGTAATGAACTTTCATCCAATTTAACTTCAGCAGAGGTTTTAACGAGAACAAGTTTGCCAAGTTGATTTCCTTAACGTGGTGTTTTGTGTCCCTGTGCAGGTGCCGTACGTGAAGGTGGCTCCAGAGGACATCCTGAAGGTGCAGTTCCCCCGCTTCACCACACTGGACCTCAGGCCCACCAACACAGACGTCAGCCTGGCTGTAGCTGGCCTCCTCACCTTCTTCAACAGCACCACGTCCTGCCTCATCTGCGTCCAGGCCAACTGTGAGTAACACAGAAACAGTGTGTATAGATCAGATAGCAGATGTTCCACTTCAATGGCTCTAAACTAGTCTGTGTCTGACATTTTCTTTGGCTAAGACCTTCAGTTTAGGCCATAAATCTCAAAACACCTCTATGATAATGCTTCTTCTGCTAGCACTTCTATGGGATTTTAGTGGTATGTTAGCATTAGTCCAACAGTGATTCATATGAACATTTTTTGGCTGTTTAAAATTAATTGCCAATATTTGGAGCTTATAAAAGATGTCCCATGTTTCATTATAAGCTATTAACAGACATTATGTTTAACATATATTTACCTTCTAGCAGTTGTCCAGAGAGGCCTTCAGTGAACAGCCCTGACAGAGACTTGCCACTGTTTTCTATTTCTGACAACTGACTGAAACATATTGATCAGGCTACCACTCATATTCACAGTCAGTGATGTATCTGATGTAAGACTTCCAGTAGGCCACTCACTGTAAATCGAAATATGATTGTTGATTTCACTGTCAATTCCTAATTCTGTTAGTGGTTAGTCTGACATGTTAGGCCTTCAGTTCAGCTCCTGAACTCCTAACCAGTGGGAGAGCTTACTTGGCCATATCTATCTAGATACTGCAGAGAAAAATATCTCGATTAGACCAGTTTCCTTTGTATGTTTAAAAAATGTAACCCTTTTGTTTCCAAGTAAACTATACAATTTATCTAAATACATTTATAGTGGAGAAGTACATGCAGGGTGTTGTAAGGCAAAATAGCACCCAAAGAAAACTTGTTTATCTCAGATTGGCCACTGTTTTCCCATTATTAACATTACATATAAAAACTCTGAATACATGTATATGTTTACTGATCATGTTGGATATTAAAAAATGGCTATATTTACATTGTAGACCTCTTAACACCTGGTCCCATCACCACTACTATAAAGAAATTCCTCTGTAATTCACCTTCTCATATTACACCTCACTCATTTAATTATACAGGATTCTTTGGAAAAATGGTAGAATTCCTGTTAATTACCTTTTAGCAACAATGACATGCTGTCATCAATAAATGAAAAATAAATAAAAAAAAAAATCATAAATTAACAATTAAAGCCTTCCGACAACAACCCAGACATTTTAGTCCTGATAAACCTCACCTAATAATTCTCATTCTCATTACATTTACATTTAAGATGTGTTTTGTGGCCTTACGGACCTCAGTGCCAACAACATAATTGACTTCAGCAAACCAGATAAAAACAAGTAGGGGGTACGACTTGGGAATACAAATAAGAAGAGGTAGAAAACTAAAGCAGGAGTTAAATGCATGCCACAATCCATCAAAGTTGGGAAAGTGTGAGTGGGGGCTATAAGAAAGCTGAACATGGAATCTAAACCCCAAGTCTGACAAATAGTTGAGAATTGATGTATGAACCTGACATAAATAGCTGGGTCTCATTGGGTTTTAACAAATATTCGAGCTTTGCTGTGTACAGTACATCATTGCTTCTTGAAAATCTTCTGGCACACTTGTATAGCAGTGGGAACTTTGTACACTGCCCTCAGCTCAGAAAGGTTTTAGAATTGCCTGATGAGTTGAATCAGACTGGTTAGACACAGAAATAAGCCTGATGTTGGGACACCATACTGGGAATGAGAAGCACTGATGTATAGTCTGTTGAATTGCTTGTACTGTGCAACTGATAGAGGGTTACATAAACATACAAAGTGTCTTTTAAGAAAGAGTAAACAAAAAGCAGCAAATAAGTAAATAATACAAAATCAAATTAACCAATTACAGACCATATCTGGCAACCCTGTATTACTGTATTGTCTCTTTAGAAAGAGCTAAACCCCACTATGGCATTATAATATTACAAAAGATGCCAATACTGGAGAAAAGGACATAAAGTCTGGAAGATCAAGACTTATTGGGACATGAAAGGTTGATATACTTCATAAAGCATATAGAGATGCCCCATCTTTATAGAACTTGTTGTGGCTAAATAAATCCCTCTGATGTGTGCTGTGCTGCAACAGTCTTGCTGTGTACAAAGACACTACCAAAGTTGCTCAAAGCACATAGTGCTCTTCTGTAGCTCCATACTGTTTTCCTCCACAGTCCTCCACTGTGAGCAAGTACCTTCAAAGACACAGAGACACATGATGATTATTCTATTAGATCCAGTCTGGAATTATAACCTCATACCTCAACACTCATATAATGGTATTGATTACTACACGCCTGTCCCATTATTCATGTTGTGGTAATGTGGGATGGTTTCAGCATGTTCCTGCTCCTGCTATCACTGTCCTTCAGGCTGTCATCACATTTGCTGTCCCACTCGTTTACCATCAAAGCACACCCCCCATTGCTGACAGCAACCTCTCTGCTGACAGAACATCTACACTACCAGGGGTGGAAAGAGTACTGAAAAATGGCAGTTTAAGGAAGAGTACTGTTACTGTACTGATAATTTACTTGAGCACAAATGTAAATGAAGGAAATCACTCAAGAAAGAGTAAATAAGTAGTTTAGTGGAAAACTACGTGAGTAGTCAAGTTATTTTTTATATATATCCGCAATCAGTCTGAAAAAATCATGAGTCGACTTGGCGATATCATTATACATAATCAGTACAAACAAAAAAAAGCCAAACCTGATATTACAGGAGAAAGAGGTTTTGAGTGCTGAGACTGATCACAGTATGCTCTGCTAGTTCATGGTTAGATGATTATATATGGCTTCCTTAATTAAAAGTTTACAATAAAGTAGATTTGAATCCCTGAAAGGCTGTTCAGAGATTCTGTTTAATTAAGTCTATTTTTGATTACCTGTGAAAATAACAGGTGCATTACTCAATTATTAATGTAATTTTTGTGACAGGCATACTGCCCATGAGCTCCCAGAACGTTAGCTTACATTACCTCATAGGTGTCACCCTCTAGAGACAGTATGTATTACACAGGATTCAAACTGTATAAATTCACCGGTACCTGTACATCACATTTTTACCATTAAAATTATTCGCACCGTCTAAGCATTGATCCTATCCTCACAAGATCGCGAGGTCGATCTCTGGTGATGCTACAGCCATTCAGCCAGGCTGTGCTCTCCTAGAGCTGGGGGCATCGTGTAATTAGGGGAGTCCTAACTAGTGGGTGGAATTGGATATGACTAAACTGGGGAGTGCATCTTAGAGAATCAGAAATTTATGTAACTTTATTTGACAGTTAAAGTTAAACAGCTAAAGAGCCTCTCACACAGTTAAAGACAAACACAAAGGCAGAGAGAGAGAGAGAGAGAGAGAGATGATGTGAATATTACAGCACAATGTTGTTTAAACTCTGCTGGAGTGATGCCCTAATGTCTCTAATGGCCCCTTCTTGATGTGAGGAGATGTTTTATCTGTGTTCAGCATGCATGCAAAAGCCCTTCAAACTCCATTGCAGACTGTTCAAATTATAGACGGAATTATTATCCAGAGCTTATGATGTACCTAAGTTAGACTAGATTTCCTGTATCAAACCCTTTTATGGCTGTTTACCTCCAACACTGTGACAGAACCACTTTTTCTGTGGGTAAACTGTATGGGTAGACATCAATGTGAAATAAAGTAGCTAGCTAACGAAACACTTACAATAAAACATACATTACAGGTTATAGGTAAATAGCTGCCATTTTATTCCATAAACAGCAAAGTAAGGAGAAACTCTCTCAGGCTGAAGATGAGTGGAGATCTTGGCAGGTTTCACGAGGAATATTTGGCAACTGATAATAACAGCCTTTTTTATCATTTGGAAATTAGTGAAGATAACTGTTTGGATAGAGTATCTTCCCATGTGTGCTGGTAACATTCTTCTCTTTCTGTCTCCACTAAACTTGACGTCTCTGAACTCATCAGGGCGGAAGTGTTTTTGGGGGCTGCTTTGTTTCCATTGGTTTTAAGTACTTTTTTAAATGTAATCTGGCTTTCTTCTAATTGGCTGATTGCTGATACACTTATAATTTATTTTTACTCTGTAGTGTTATTGAAAGTTAAAATAGCGAAGTTTAAGTACTTTCTTAAAAATGTATTGAGTAGTAAAAGTACTATGATTTAATTCTACTCTGAAAAGCACTGTTACACAGAAAAATACACTGAAGCACTGTAACAAGAGTGAATGCAGTTTGTTACTTTCCACCTCTTTACGCCATTCAAAAGTGTGGAATTATTTATCATATTAATAATTTCTCAGACATACATTGTACAGTGTAGATAAAAAGCATTATAGACTAGACGTTAGAAGGTGTTTTTAGATCTTTTATTCAGTATTTCACATTCTATTGTTATTACATGACAAATAACAAAATAGAAATTTGTTGGTAAGCTATCTGCTTTCAGATTTGACCTCCCTGTTTGAAATGCAGGCCGAGGTAATGTAATAATTTCATTCTCATTCATCTCTCACTCCATTCGTTTTCAGTTTCAGTTCTAGTATCATATTAAAATCAAGTAGTGTCTGTCTGCATGCACTAGTGGCCACCAGCAGAAAGGAAGTTGACTATTTTTCATTAATACCATCAAATACAATATTTTATAATTCTGTTATCAGATTAACTAGGACTCTGCTGGCTCTCTGTGAGTGAAATGCTGTGACTCTGTTTTGAACTGCTAGTGAGCAATGAGGAGTGAAAGTGGAGGAGTGAGAACCCCCTGCTGTGAAAACAATTCACACCTCTGCACAAAAACAGATAAAACAGACAGCACAACTGAGCTTTCTTTATATTAAAAATGATGTACAAATGCCATTTTAAAAAAAGCAAGGAAAAGAATACATTGAAAACATTAAAAACACTTTTATAAATGTTCCCTTGCGTGCTCATGTACAAAGATGGAAATCCAGTTCTCTTCCGGTTTTATAAATCATACACATTTCTGTCATTTAAATATACATATGCAAAAGTTTTTTATTCCACATTTTGTTGATTTTCTAAGCAAAAATAAATTACACATCCTCTGCAAAGAACAC